CAATCATTCTCTCAACAATATCCCACTGTCTCCCAATTTGGTCCCTCACCACCAAGGAAACCATTGAACCAATAGCGAGACTATACAACAGAGCTTACAAGATCCATGGGAACCTCCCCCCTTGGACTCATCACTGCACCCTTAAACTCTAACGCCTTGACTTACAAAAGATTCTAAACAACTCCAATCCTACACTTACTGCTCTACTTCCAAGTCACAACACAAGACAGCGACACGTCACTGGATCATTTTCATATGCACTTGTTTCTGTATCGCCTTACAAACATTATTATGGTCAGAGATCATTTTGTCACACTTAAACTAAGATCTGGAACGAGATCCATAGAGCACTGAAGCAATAACCTCTATTACACATACACTGATCAGCAAAACATTAAAAACACCGGTGCAGACCATGCACCCCCCATTATCGCAACGGCACTCCCCAGTAGCAGTGGTCACCCAGAAGGACAATGCACCATGCCACACCACAAAACTGCTCAGGAATGATCCGAGGAACGAAACAAAGAGCTCAAGGCATCAACCTGGCTTTCAAATTCCCCAGATCCCCATCTGATCAAACATCTGTAAGATGTGCTGGTACCCCACCTCACAACCCGCAGGACTCAAAAGGTCTGAAGCCAATGCCCTGGTGCCAGACACCAATGGACACCCTCCAGGGGTCCTGTGTCCATGCCTTGACAAGTCAGAGCCAAGTCCAAGGAGCACCCACTGTGGATCAGGGGTATCTCTGGGGTAACAGCACGTCCCTCAAATGTTTGATCAGATTGGGACCTGGGGTATTTGGAGGCCAGGTCGACACCTTGAGCTCTTTGTCCTGTTCCTCGGGTCATGCCTGAGCAGCTTTGGTAATGTGGCATGGTGCATTGTCCTGCTGATAGGCCACTGCCATTGATAAGTGCCGTGGGGTGGGTGGAGTCCATCAAGTAGCATCCACATGAATGCCAGAACCAAAGGTTTCCCAGCAGAACAATGCACTGTAACAAGATGATCAGTGTTATTCACTTCATCCACCAGTGGTTTGAATGTTTTGGCTGATCAGTGTATACACACTATCTGATGGAGGGACACACCTGCATCCCCTGATTTAAATCCAAAATCCCATTTTTCTCACTCCACTTCAGTCCACTACTCTGCACTGTCTGTGTTGCTGCCTATGTTTTGTTGTTTTGCCTCTGTTGATTGTTTCTGTTTTGTGCATGAAAAATGTACTCAACTCTCAAGAACAGTTTCAGGTCCAGTGTTTAGGATTCAGGGGGATATATGGGCAGAAATGGAATAATATATATAATAATGTTAACATAGAATGAGCTGTTTATATCTGCTTAGGGTGTGAGTCCTCGTCTATGAAGACCGCCATGTTGTATCACCTTGTTTATACAGTAGCCCAGAAAAGACAAACCAAACCCTGCTGGCTCCATTTTGCATTTTCACACTGGCCATCATAGTGACAAGCAGTGTTGCAAAAACACTGATTTGTAATTAAAATGGCTTTATTCTGTGTTTCTACCTGTTTAAATCATCAGGTCCGTTTGTTTTGGAGAGGAAATGACCTCTGTGGATAATCTGGCTAAAAATCTCCTGATCAATAAACACTGAAGGAATTCTAGCCAGGAAGAAGTTTCAGATGGTTTGAATCTGTAATCCTCACCATCAGACATCACTAAATCCCCCTATATTTACACATTGAACCTTTAAACTCATCAGATATTAAACAGATAGAAGCTTCGGGTGCTTGTCTTTGCAGTGAAGTTGCCTTTCATGTGTTTTTCTTGTGAAATAGTAGTTTTTTGTTGATTTGTTGGGAACATATCTGAGACGGCATTTTAGGATTATTATAGGTAAAAATGAAGATGGGGGAGGGTAATTCTGAGAAAAAACTCCATGATTAAAGTGGCTTATTTCTTTAAGACTTATTATTTTCAGTTTTCAGGTTGTACACTGCTGCTGGATGCACAAGGAGCTATTTCTGAACCATAATGATGATTGATTGGGCGTGCAAACAATGGTCCAAGTCCTGTGCCTGAAAATGTACACAGTGTGCATTTAGCAGCTTTATACGTCCTAAAAAGAAAACTGAAAAGAAACAAAATAATAACCTAACATTGACTCACACGAGACCCAAACTCAGTCTCTTAGGTCAAAGTCCCGTGCTTGACCCAATCATCCACCATGGCCTTCTCCCTGTGTGGACTTCGTCACTCTTTAGACTACGTCAGCTGACTTTCTGGCAGCACATTTATGAGTTTTTTTCTGATTAATTTATCGCTTTAATTTCAGAGAATGTTTGACTTTTTTTTCTCAGAAATTTACCACTTCAATCTCAGAAAATATGCAATTTATTTTCTGGTGAATTTACAACTTTAATCTTGGAAATTCTGAGATTTTTCTCGGAATATTACCCCCGTCTCCCCAGCTCCGTAGTTTTTGATTTATTCATTATTTTATTTATTTTTTACCTACAATGGCCGTAAAACACCACCATACAAGTGTTTGTCCTTTTTTGGTAGTTACTTGGATGTTTCTTTCATGCAATACCTGATTCTTTATCAGTAATTATTACATTAATTTTAACTGCTGAGAGGAAACTCAGATCACCTCCTTTCTGGCTGCTGAAAACTCGTTGCCATCATCTGGATTTTTTTTTTTTTTTTTTTTCAGAAGTTTTAATGTGGAAAACAAACTTCACCCTCGGTCATTACCTGCTTTGGCTTTTACTTCAATAATTTAAGCTTCACACTCAACTGGGAAAAAAGTTTCCCTTGTGATAAATAATAAACATCCTCGCCTCCTTCATTTCACTAAATTGAGTGAATTTGTTGAATAAAACAAGAGTCATGAGATTTATACACTCCAGTCATAAAAGTTTATGAACTGGCACTCATCCAGCCAGTCACTGAGCTAGCTAAACCAGCTTTTTTGTCTCTCTCCGTCTCACACACACACATATATATCCATTATACACTGTACAGTCTGCCTCAGTAAGCAGATGGTGGGGCTGTGTCTCAAAAGGAAGAGGGGGTCATCCACTAATAAGATCGGCAGTTTGATTGTCTACTCATCCAGTTTGCAAACTGAAGTATCCTTGGGTAAGATACTGAACTTGTATGTATAGCTGTACAACATTAGAGAGTGTCAAAATCATCACAGTAATCTGAACCCCCCTCAGTCTCCAGAAGGTTAATGACCAATACGTGTTCACTTAATGTTAGGTAGGACTCTGTAGGATCCTTTCTGGGAAGGAACCGTCCAACCCAGGAAGGATCCTTGACTTTAAGAAACACCAGCTGTCTATGGATAAGTACTGTATACAAGAGTCCGGTCTCACTCCGAAGTCGTAGAAATCTGGCGCTCAGGCAGTGACTTGTGGTGTCAGAAACCAACGACCTTGAACGCCGACATGATATGTGGCCTGTTGGCATTATAGTTTAACTGCGCCCGGCAGGCGTCAGGGTGAAACACGGTGGGACAAGGACAAAGTTAAGGCGGCAAAAATCCAAGTGGGGCAGGTGGGAGTGGTGGTGGATTTGGTCCAACAAACACTGACTTTCACCAAAGAGGGCGGTGTTTGTGTCCCGTAAGATTCTAAAGCCAAACCCTGTTATTTTTTCTAAACCCAACCACGTGTTTTCGTTGTTGAAGGAAAAAACAACCCTCAATTTTCGGTGTTGTACTGGCGTAGTGCTTTTATTTTGAGAGAGACTGCATGCAAACGTTTAATTTCCTGTGAAAACTGAAGTTTATCTTGAAAGAAGACAGTGTATGCAACAGAAGGAACTTGACATGGTGTCCCAGACCGTCAAAAACCAACACACCCAGGGTACCTTGGACTTCGTAACTGGACATGGAAAGTCCATGACCAAACGTCGATGTGTGACGAGGGCGGAGTGAGAATGTGTTGCATACAACCCCACTTCAAAAAATGAAGAGACCAAAAATTGTTCTGCAGAGTGAGACTCAAAGGCCTTAAGATGATAAAAAGATTGAACTTCCACTGACTAAAACAGACGTCAAACCTGCATCAAAATGTGTCTCTCACTTTACACTTTCACTTTAGTCACTTTATTGCCTCCTTTAGAGAAACGTACAGCCGTTACAAATCAAACAAGCTGCAACTCAAGCACATCTCCGCGAACCTGAACGCTTTATTTACCCTGAATAACACAATAAAAATCCACTTGTTTATAAAGAGACAGGCACAACTGTTTCAATAGAATCTAAAGTGCTGTTGGCATGTTCAAAGACAGGCACATGGAAATCACACTCATGCCGAACAATCTTACAGCACGCAGACACACAAAATCAACCTGTTGTGAAACTGATCAGCGGGGCTCACTGCACCGGGGGGAAAACACAAAGTGGTTTATATTTCCAAACAGCAGCCAAGACACTTTGTTTACTCACATCAAGACAATCAAATTGACTCGCTGAGCGGAGAATAATCTCTTCTTATTTGAGTCTAAACGCAAACCTCATTCAGAAGATTGTGCAGCTTCCTGTGAACATTCAGCCTTTGCAACAAAGACTACAGAAGTAAACTGCAGTCTGAAAAAGTGGAGAAGAAGAAGAAGGAGAAGAAGAAGAAGGAACGGAGGACAGATGAGAGAACAGCATGCCAACAACATCAGCGGGAGGCTGGCGTCATGCTTTCCTCGTGGCACACACACAAAGAGAAACAACACCCAGAGACAAACATTCAGACACACAAATGTACAGTAGATGCACACAAATGTGCAAAGACACAGTAATTTGCACCCACAGGGACTCGCACACTAACACACAAATACACACATGAGCACACTGATGTGTACAGACACAAACACAGAAGATCACACACATCAAAGAGACGGTCAAATAAACATCAAAAACACACACACAGAGCTGTGTACAGTTGACACACACACACACCGGCTGCATAGTTGACAGTCTTTCTATCTGACACACACACACAAACACACACACACACACACTCACTGTACCCTTAATTCGGCGCCTGATGACCCCTAAGCGGCACTTGAGTGAAACGGAGAACATCCTTTCCCTCTTTTCTTCTCTTTATCTTCTTCCTGCTTTCTTTCTCTCCCTCCTCCTCCTCCTCTTCCTCCTCCTCAGTCAGACATAGTGTGAGCCGAGCGAAGGATGAGGGAGTGAAAAAAGAGCGGTGCTGGAGTGCTGGCCGGTCACATGGCAAAGACAGGGAAGAGAGAGAGCAGGCAAGTCCTTCTCTGTCTGACGGGGAGAAGTGATTACACAGTCCCTCTCTGTCTCTCTTTCACCTCTGTCTCTCACTCTCTCTGTTGTTCACTCTCTCCCTCTCTCTTTCTGTGTGGGAAGTAGTAGTGTGAAATTAAGCTGCCTCTTTCTCTCCCTCTCTTCATACTCGTATTCTTCCTCAGCCTTTCTTTCCCTCACCTCTCTTTATCCCTCTCCAAGCGTTCTCTCCTTTCCTCCTGATCCTCCCGTTTATTGTTGGGACTTTTTCCTCTCTGTCACACTCTCATTCCTCTTCCTCTATTTTTCAGGAATTTATTCTGGCTTATTTTTCTTTTCATCTTTTATGTCTGTCTTAAAAAATCTCTTTTAACAATTGTATATGCTCTGCTCTGTTTCCCATTGACTCTCATTATCCATTCCTATTCAGATAAAGAAGAAATCAAACTGCTCGTCTTCCTTTCTTCTTTCTTTCCTCAAGTAATCTTTTGCTCTTTCAACAGGCTCTAGTAAAGGCAGTGTTATTCCTCCTGTCCATTATCGGATCGATTGCCATGAAACTTTGTACAGGTATCAACCCAGCTGGCCACCAACATTGTTAGTTGTGAAGTCAACAACGTCTTATGCAGGTGTCAGTTTGACGTTGGATACTGACGACATACGGCATTGATATTCTATTGGTTATAGGTTGTGTTGTTCAACACATATCACCGCTTGGTTAGTGGACTTTAATGTCTACATATGATGTGCTAGGTGTTCTAGATACGTCTCTTGTTGACGTTCTGGGACGCCATGTCAATTTACGTCTGTTCCGTGCATTGTGTCTTTTTAAAATACACTTCTGTTTTCACAAGAAATGTATAGTTTCTGCCTGTTAGATGCATACAGTCTTCATTGGTAAAACACCCTGTACTGACGTTTATTTTGTGGTGCAACAAACACACACATTTAGGCAACAGAGCCACGTGGTTAGGTTTAGAAAAAACATCATACTTTGGCCCTATTTATACTGGAAGCAAACACCGGCCTCCTGGGTGAAAGTTCAGTGTTGGGTCCCATCCACCATCACTCCCTTCCACCCTGTTGGGACTTTCCCGCAACTTCATTAACATTGTTGACCAGCGGTGTCGAACTGCAAATGGCACCACCACAAAAGTCGCAGTCTGACGTTGAAATTAATGACGGAGCGGCGGTATTCGACAACTTTATAATGAGAATGGGTTGTGTGGTACTTAAGCAAAATCCAATTGATGTAGAGTAATGACATTTAGACGCAAGGTATGAAGAGTTTGCAAAATGTCATAATGTAAATTCTAACGTCATTGGACATTTAAAATATTGTCAACCTGATTGTCATTCCAACATCCAGCATCAGCATTTTAGCACAGTCACTGTGAAAATGTTGGTATGCTGACATTTCCATTCAGCACGAAGCACTGCTGTGCCTTTGCACAGCCTCTCAGAGCTGTAGACTATTAGCAACCCAGCAAACACTGAATGGCTGCTGTTTGAATCAAGACGTCCTGTTATGGTACAAAAACAGCTCCAAAATGAAAGTTGTGCCGACGTCTGTAAAGTTCCCTACCTATCAGCAGGATGTGCTCCCCTACCGTCCTAACAATGTCGAAATACAACTCTAACATGACCAAATAAACTAATGTTGACCTCCACATAACTCAAACCCAAGTCTCCTGGGTGTAATCTCTGGGCTTTATCCATTCATCTGCCAGGACTTTAAATCTATGTGGACTTTATACAACGTCACCTGACTTTCTAGCAAAAAACCTTGTGATCAAAGACTGTTTGGACAAAGACTTTCAACTCTTACAAACATCTCGGGCTAAAAAATTACGAGGCAGGAATATAATTTACATGTAGATAAACATAATTGGCATAAATGTCTTTTTTATATTTTAGAAATGGGTGTTGAGTAGTGCTAGTCTTTGGACGTGGAGTGTATGTCGTCATGTGGCGGTCTTATCTCAATCATTTTACAACCAAACAAACAAATTGTCAATAAAATGTCTTATTAAGAAAAAAAGAAATAAAGAAAAGTAAAAAACAAAGATAATGCATTTGCTTATTTCGTAGCAACAATTTTCCCATTTTGTAAGAGAGCGTCTCAATGCACCATTAATGGACATTAAACAGCATCACCATCTGGCTCCACCTCATCACCATGTGGGAGGTTTTGGTGTCCAACTGGGACCATTTATGGCCAGGAGCATGAAGTCACTATGAGACCAGTGTTCACTGGTGAGGATTCAGACTGAAAACAGTTCAGTTTTAAAACAGTGCAGAGGACAGTGTGTTGTTTAAGGTACCACTAAGACAAAGCAGTCCAGGAAGTCCAATCTTTTTAGGTTTATCAGAAGCCAAAATGGTTTGTAACGCTCAGACTGCACTTTATAACTCTGGAGAATTTGCACAGTGGCACTTAGTTTATCGTTCATGTGGTGCTTGCAGGGTAAATTACAGAGTACAGAGTAATTTACCAAAAATGTGCACTTGCATGTAGAGCTTTTTGAGCCAGGTTTAGCTCGGGTCGGTCTGAACCTGGCCTCGGACTCACTCCATCTAAAATTGCTTTCCTTCCTTCTGCCACCTACAGTAAGGAAAAAAAGTCAGCTTTCTTTTCTTCAGTGATTATTTCCTCTATCGTTTCTTTTTCTTCACAGTAAAAATAATACAACTTGTCTTTACCTCTCCCTGGTTTATTTCCCAAACTCTCTCTGTGTTGTTGTCTCTCGCCTCCGACACTAATCTCCACACTCGCTCCTTTTCCTCTCAATTGAACCTCCCTCACTCCAAATCATCGTCTGCAGGGCTCCACATTCTCACAATCCACCTCTCTCCCACTATCTTTCCTGCTCTCTGTAAATCTGTCTCTCCCTCAATGTCATGGTAACAGTGTTGGGGGGTTGAAGCTGTAGCAAAATGACAGAGAGATCAAAGGACCAAATGGCTGGGCTCAGCAGAGGAAGGGAAGAATAGAGTCGAGGAGGTGAAGGTGTGATGAAAAGGGAGCAGAGGGAGGAGGAGGAGCGAGGTGGAGGAGAAAGAGGGAAAAGAGCAAAGAGGAAGAGGACGTTAAGAGAAGATCCGAGCAAGGAAGTTGAGAGGAGAAAGAAAACTGTGGGCAACAGATGAGAGAATCCATGAGCAAGAGGAGAAGATGGCAGAGGAGCAGAGAGGGGGAGAAAAGGGAATACGGAGAGGGGGGAAAGTGAAGTGAAGAATAAAGCTGTTTAGTTGCAGCTGTGATGAGAGGGGAGACACAGATTAGCCCAGAAAAGAGAGGAGAATGAAAAGAGGACAGATGAGAGGTGGCTCATGGAGAGGTGGAAAAGAAGAGATGACAGTTAACGGCCGATAAAAGTGGAGAAGATGAGCAGAGAGAGAGGGAGAAAGAAAAGGAAGAGAGGAGAGAAATGCTTCTGAGAGACGTCACGGTGAATGAAACACTGTTTAATTATTTCAAACTTATTTTCATTATGTTTTGCAAACAGTATAAAACACTCTCAGTTTTGGCCGAGTCATGAGGGAGCCGCTCTGGAGGCTGAAGGAGTCAGCTCAGCGTTACTGAATGGACCTACGGCAACATAGCAACAGTCTATTTTAGGTACAAGAGTATTTTCAAGCCGGGTTATTTTTTATTTAGAAAATAGCTGAAAGAGAAGAAAGCAATCAATATTCCAGTGTCCCTTCATGATTTAGGATTTAGGATTCTTCTGGTGGAATATTTTACTAAATTGTTCGTGCAGTTTGTTGTCGTGGCGAACGTGATTGCTGCCTGGTTGATGTGGATGACAGAGGCAAAGTTTACTTGAATGTTTTGGACGTAACTTGATTTCAGCCAATCAAGAGTGTCATCTCCCATTCCCCTTTAAAGCCACCTGCGCCTGCAGCTGGTACACTGCTATTTACATGATGGATCTGGTAAATTGGAGAAGGTTTTCTGCATTTTCTTCAGAGTAATATAGTGAGAGCATGCACATGTGGCCAAAGCACAAAAAACAAACCACAGAGAAGCTCGGATTACAACACACAAAGGGAGCGTGACCTTCTTCTCTGCTCAGGACAACGCATTCTCACTCCAATCTCGTCACATATTGACATTTGGTCATGGACTTTCCACGTCGAGATCTGATATGCAAGGTACCCTGGGTGCGTTGGTTGATGATGTTCTGGGACGTCATGTCAACTTCTGTGCCTTGTCAAAATAAATCCAAACCTATCTGACTGGACCATGTGGGAATTTCATTTGAAAGGACAGACACAGGAAGTGTCCACGCTCAGCAGTCAGACAGGAGTCAGGTTAATTTCCAGGGCTGGTACCTGCGGTTATTCCACAGGCTAGTTAATAACATGTCGGGCAGGAAATCCAAAGTGTGGGATCATTTTGAGAAGGTGAAGGACGAACCCAAGGTGATATGTAAACTCATCTTCATTGGTCGACTACAAACATGACGTATCATCTGAAACATGGAAGTAGCTACATGCCCATTAGCCCACAGCGTCATTAACAGGTGGCTCGCTCAGTGTGTGACGTGCACTTGGAGATAAAATATAGGCCTATATTAATGAAGGTTAAATGACGACTATTGGTCGACTAGGAAAATTCCTAGTCGGGGGCAGCCCTACTTTGCATACTATCTCTTATAAAACAAACGCACTACGTTGGTACAACCCCGCAAATTGACGTTTTTCTTCCTTCAACAACGAACGTATGTGATTACATTTTGCCAAGACTTGCATGTGGTTGGGTTTAGGAAAAAAGAACAGGGTTTTGCTTTACAATCTTACAGGAAGCAAATACCGGCCTCGTGGGTCAAAATCTGTGGCTGTGGGACCCATCCACCACCTCTCCCGCTCACTCTACTCGGACTTCCACTGCCTTAACTTTAGTTGCTGTCCCGCTGCATTTCCCCCCTGACGCTGCAGAGCACCGTTAAACAATAATGGGGACTGGCTGCGTATCATGCCAACGTGAAGGGACAGCTTTTGTGTGATTGTCTGACGCCGGAAGTCACTGACCAAGTGCCAGATTTTGACGACTTCGGAGTGAGACCGCATTGCTCAGGACGCCATTTCTCCACTTTATCTTTACATATCAAATACTGGTTTGTTGCTTTAACTACAACAGGATGTTAAATTAATCAATGTGTAAGTGAAAGGGCAGGATTTGCTTTTCTTTTAGCTCTGGTTTTGGTTTCACAGGACACATGCTTCAAAGCATCCATCCCTTCAAATGGGACGCAGATGACTGCGTACGCAGGACAGGGTAAATAAAACTGAGAACATGAAAGCTGTGCAGGTGTAGTTTTGGGGGTGTTCATTCTCAGTGGGTTAGGCTGTAGCAAATCTTTTTAAAATATACAGTTGATTTTTGAAAATTCACTTTAATTTCATTTAAAAAAAAAAAATCTGTTAGAGCATTGAACAAATTGTGAAAAGTACAGAAGCGTGTTGAAATAATAAAGCGCAAGCTCATTTGTAGGCAAATCATGCAGATATTGAGCTCCACTGACCAGGAAGACCACCAAGGAGGAAGGCTGCATTTTTTACTCTGATTCTGATGCCCCAAGTGTACAAATGAGCCAACACACACGTCACAC